GAGCGCACAACGTGGGCCCCGCCAGGGGCCCGAGGGCGGGAGGTTAGGAGCAGGGGGGAAGAACTTCGCGGCGAACACTGCTGCCTTCTCCTCGATAGACGTCGCTGGGGAGGTTCCGTCGCGGTCTAGCGGCGGTACTGCTCGGGACTGGTATTTAGCGTCCGGGGGTTTAGCACCCCATTCGGCTAACCGCCATAGCGCCGAGGACCCGTGTGATAGCTCGTCGACGAACCGGCGCCAGGCTGCTGTCTTCGCCTGTCGTATGGCCCGGTTGCGGTCGCGTACCGCGTCGCGGTACCGTTCCTGGGCCGCGTCGCTATCGTGCCGGTGCCGGCGAGCTCGCCGTGCCGAGATAACAGCGTCGTAGACGACACTGGACCACCAAGGCGGTTGTGCCGCGGAGCCCGGGACACGGCTCGGGACCGTGGCGGAGGCGATTTCGTCAAGTTGATTATGGAGGTCGGTTAAGGCTCGGTCAATCGCGGCCGAGTCTGTCGGGACTTCAGGTGTTATTATAAGCGTGGCCCCCAGGGCGCGTATAGCGTCCGGGTCGGCCTCGCGCCATCGCCGGGTAGGGGCCGGCGAAGGTGTACGTGTATGCTGGATATATGTTAGTTGGGGTATATGGTCGGAGCCGTGGAGGTCCCGCGGCGCGGGTATATGTCGAGGCTGGAGTGGCGGGGAGGCCCAGACTAGGTCGATAGTACTAGGGCGCGAGGACCCGTGCCGGTCCCCTGGCGGTTCCCAGGTGAAGATGCCGGGTGGTGTTACCAGTACGAGCCGGGCCTGTCCCGCGGCCGCGATGAGATCTGAGGAGTCCCGGGTTTCGCGGCCGAAGAAGTCCCAGCTTGGGTGGTGGGCGTTGAAGTCACCGACAATAACATGTGGGGTTCTAGGAGAGAGATTGTTGAAGAGGGTGGCTATGTCGAGGACGGAGATAGCTCCGGACCGGTACACATTAGTGACCGAGACGGAGCCGAAGCGGATAGTGGTGGAAAATGCTGTGGAGGACGAGCTCCAAGAGTGTGTAGGGTGGCGTTTATGTACATATGTGGCCGTGCCATTATCAGTGAAAACGACGTGGTAGTTCAACAGAGCCGACGCGGGGACGTGACTGGTCCGGGTCGGCTCCTGGAGAGCGACGATGTCGAAGGCCTCNGCTACCTCTGGAGCGACTTCAAGATCTTCCCGGCAAGAGAGTGTTTTGGTAATAGCTCGGTTGATCTGGTCGTGGCGTGCTTGGTAGCGTCTCTGGGCAGCCTTGCAAGTGTCTTGGTGGTTGATGGCGGTACGTGCAGCGCAGTGTGTACAGGGTAAGTCTGGTGGCTTTATAGGTATTAAGAGCCTGTTTCGGAGTCCCTCGGTGATCTCGGCGTCGGTGAACATGGTGTTGGGGCTTGTTGGTAGAACCTCGATCCAGCGACGACCCAAGTAGCTTGCGTTTTCGGCGAGAGCATTGCGCTCGGGTTCGGAGATTGAGTCGAGGCTCTCGAGCTGTTCTGTATAGAAGCTCTTAAGCACGCTTTGCGCTGTTTCGGCCGGGTGGGCGGGTTCGTCTAGTAGTAGCGTGGTAGGTGTTGTCTTACCGCGTAGAATGAACTGTATAGTAGCAGTATTGGCGTCGCGAGCGGCTGCGTAGAGCTGTTTTGCTACCTTTGTATGTAGTATAAGTCCGAGTCCACCTTGGCGGGCTGGGATACCAATTAAGGCAGTATGCTCTATGTTGATTGGCTGGAGTCGACGGGACGCGATATAGCCTAGTGCGGCGATTGTGGCGGCGTCGGCTTGTTGCCATAGTTCTGTAAGCCCGCGCGGGTCGAGCTGGCGGAGCAAGTGGCGTAGTAGGTGGTTGATACTACCTTTAAGTAGCAGTAATGCATGTTGTTTGGGCAGCGTGCGCAGGGTGAGAAGAATAGAGTTATAGTTGTCGATCTTCTTCTCGAGGAACGTTTTTCGAGCAGCTCGTGGCCCTACAAACGAGCCTAGTACCGGCAGGCCTGTAGTTCGAAGGTCTTCGATCTTATGTTCCTTGGTTTTGCGTATGTTGAGTTCAAGGTTGTGTTCGGTGAAGGTTTCTAAGAGTACTGGTTTGATTTCCGGGTCTTTGCGCGAACCGAGTACGTAGAGGTCGTCTAGGTAAGCGAAAATACGGGAATTTGGTAGCTTTCTTTGGAGCGCTTCGATAGTTGGGCGCTGCGAGAGCGAGTAGAGTAGACTAGCGAGCGGATCGTCTTGGCGTACGCCTTGTGCAGAGGCTAGAGCTGTGCCGTCTGAGAGTACAAGCAGCGCCGGGTGGTTGAGTGCCCAGGCAGAGGCTTGCAGCAGCGTGGGCGCATGGTTGAGGACTGCTGTTGCGATGGTTGTACGGTCGCGGTTGTTGAAGGCGTTGCTTTCATCGGCCGAGGTGATAGTATCGAATTCGGTAGAGTCGCTCATAATGACGCTTTGGAGCGCAAAGATAGCGGGTTCGACGCCGCCGGGGGAGCTGACGCCGAGCTGGTTCGGGAGAAGCATCTCGGGGCGGAAAAGCGTGGCGATAACAGCTTTCATAGCGATTCTGTAGATCATATCGCCGATAGCGATAGGGCGGATACCGCCATCGTCTTTTTCTAGCGCGATGAGGCGTGATGCTGTAAGGAGGTACGAGCCTTTCGCTGTAGCTAGTCGGATGCCCTCTGCGATGTGGCGGATCATAGCGAGCACGCCGGTACACGTGGAGCCGTCTGTTTCGTCTGCTGTCGCAATGTCGAGAAGCGAGCGCGTCCAGCCGCTGAGACCAGGGGCCTTTTCTTTGCTGGTGGTACAGATCGCTGTGCGGATAGCATCGATCTTGATAGGCTGGCCTGCGTGTGGGCGGGCTCTGATCTGGAAGGGGTCTTTGGGGCCGATTGGGTGCTTCTGGCAAAGCTGTGCTTTGAGTTCTGGAGTAAGCTCTGCGAGAGGCGCCTGGTCGACGAGCGCCTGTGATGCACGACCGAGAAAGCCTTGTTCAAGTAGCTCTATAGCGCGCAGCGAGCTGTTTAGCTCTTTTGGCTCGGGGCGTGCTTGGTTGGCTTGCTCTGGAGGAGGTGCTGGGAGTATGTGTGGGTAGTTGCGCAGCTTCTGGTTCAAGTTGCCTTGCTGGAGGCCTATACCGAGGATCCGCGGTAGCAGTAGGAAGCCGAGGATTGCTTGTTCGGATGGTTTATTAAGGTAGGCGTTGGCGAGGCGTTTGGCGGTTTCTTTAAACGCTGTTGCTTGGCGCGGGTGTAGCTTTTTAGTTGGTATATAGATGGTAGAGTAGCGCACAAGGGTTTGCATAGCCGGGTCGGCGAGCAATGGCTTAGCATACCTGGGCACATAGTTATGGTTATATTAGTGGTGTTGGTTCAAGGCTAAATAACACGTGTTATCGAAAGGTGAGAGGTTGTGGTAAAAGTTCGTTGTTCTCTTCTAGTTCCATGGTCGGAACTGCTCTAGTTAAATACAGCGAATACATCCTGTATTCACTTCCTTTTCCTATGTTATCCACTTCCAGTGACTTAACTGTTCCTTCACTCATCCGGTAAAGTGACATACGTCCAATGTCACAATAGTCACAACAAAAGGAAATACAGATAGTAGGATATAACGCCTAGTGTGATGGTCGACTGGCTAGAGAGACCGACGAAAACAAGGCGTACTAGGTATAGAAAAGCTGCCCCCGGGGGCAAAGGCAACTGCGCAGCTCTCAGCAACAGTAAAGTGGGGTAATCTAACCTCACAGTACCCCTCAACAGTAGAGAAACAAGGCTATAATCCTTCAAGGTAGCTTTTAGGCTATAGAAAGCTCTTATAACCTTTGTAGGTATTTATACTATTCATCTATCTACTACTAGACTCAGAATATAAGAGATATATACTTAATTCATGTTATTACTACACGAAGGCTATATCACTTAATCTTCTCCTGGGCACGTAACATGAATCAAACTGTGTTCGTTTTAGCAAGTCGGCGAAAGCGCGGGTTGGGATGACGTGACTCACCCATCTGTAGCTGTGCTAGCAACTATATTACCGTTAACATTTTTCTATATTCAAAAGAGTTTTTTTTTTTTTTNAGTAAGATTCCGATTATTACTGAGTTGCCGGAAGTTTGCTAATCGTTGTGGGCTTCGTTGAATATACACAACAATATTGTGTAGCTTTCCGAGAGGTCCTTTAAGCCGCTATTGTTCCATCTCGAGTTCTTTTGGTGTTATAGACATATCCATAGCCTTGTTACGGACTGACCCGGGCCAGCTGGCAGAAAGGGTGTCTCAAGATAGTGATTAATTCGCTTAAAGAACATCTTCCAAAGTCTTCAGCTCGTAGAAGACTTTATATAAAGACCCTGGATAGGGGTAACAAGCACGTCGCCCGAGTGATTGACAAGGCCCTTACCGGGCCTTGATCGGCCTCTCTCTTCCTAGGTATAGGGTAGCGCTGGCACCCTTCGCGGAATGGGTATCGGGCATAGCCCGATTCTTAACATGATCGTCTATTTGAACGCTGCAAAGATACAATGCAGAGCACAAATACAACCATACGTCGTTGGATACAAAGCAAGCACCCAGATCGTCCATACAAATCTCCATTTGAGCTTGTTATGCGTATAAGCACAGAGAGACGATATCTTCGACTCATGAAAAAATGTATCTGCTTCTGGCTTAGAGCTTGGAACCTATCGCCACAAGTTTATAAGTCAATCACAAGTCGGAGATTCTCAAAATCTCAAAGCAATGCTCTCCAATGTCTATAGAAGGACCCTTGCTGGACAACTGGACAAACGATTCCTTGTGCAAATACCCTTAAGACACACGCAAATACTACCCTGGACTCTTGGAGTCATATGTTGGATGATGATAGTGCTAGCGATACAGATGAGGATGTATCAGTGCTAAGTGAAGATGATAATGATGAATAGTTATGCGAAGATGTGTCAGACGATGACAACTCTACATCTCATATAGGCTTAGATGCATTTATCCAAGACAATGAAGCAGATATTCTGTTACAATTTTGTCGATTTTTATTGACAGAAGAAATCGAAGACAGCGATGCTAACTCCACACTACTGATATACTTTACTGTAATCTACGGCCTATGTTATCCAGATAGGAGCACGATCCTTCGTCCAGCACAATACACATCACTCTTGGCAGGGATAATATATTCCTTACGGCTGATATTTCTCGAGATAGTATTGCCAAGGCTGCCACATACCTATATTGGCAGCCAAGCGCGGCCATAGCACAATCAGCTAGAATATCTACAGGTGCTGAGAAAAACGAAGATGTGCGATGGAACTGTTTCTGTTATGGGAGAACTACTCAGCATTCTAGGATATAGTCAGATATTACGACGCTCAGAGATGCCGAGTTTCATGTTCTAGTGGAGTGACGATGGAGAAGTCATCTCATGGGACAGCAATTGCAAGTTGTCGATGGCAGCCTTCAGAAATCTCTTTCAAACATTATTAGACACAGCTATAACCTTATCTATATATCTTATGTATAATTGGGAGCTAGATAAGCCTGGGTTTTCTATAATACGAGATAGGCTATTTGAGAAGATAAGTAGATATTTATTTGTCAGTGACCTATCTAATAATCTAGATAGGGCATATATGCAGTTGCTTAGACGAGTATGCCACTCCTGTAACGGTCTCAACTGAGTATATTGACAACTAGCTGAGCGACTACTACGAGTATCCCAAGATGAAGAAGAAGGGATCGAAAAGGGGCTATTCCAGCTAGCTGGAATAGCCTTTTATATGACTTACATGGGTCCCTTGCCTAGATGGTCGAGGGCTACCCGAGACCTCCACGGGCCTAGCCCGTTACAGTGTGTCCTCTAACTACTATACAAGAGCGCTTGTAAATCCATAAACCCTCTCAGACTTACAATATCGCTTATACTCATCTGTGATCAATGATAGCTACAGATGCTTATTCCTCTAATCGAGAAACTCGTTCGTAGTCGTTGATAGCACTTCATAGAGCGGAAGAGGTGATTCCACGGGCTTGTATTCGTTCTATAGTGCCCCAATAAGCTGTTTTGAAGACTTAACCTACTTCTTCTTCTAGCTTTTATATATATAGTGCTACTTGTGGTCAAGCTGCCGGGACCACCCAAACTATTGCGTTTGGGTTTACTTTAGAAGGAAAGTTTAGCTTGTTGATCGACGATAACTGGCCATGTTGACGGTACAATGTTCAAGATTCAGGCGAGAGAACGAACTGAGCACCGCCACGATGTGTTTCACCGATAAGCTTTGTGGACCAATCAGGGATAGCATATTAAATGGATATCCATGTTGATATCCATTTAAGGGTCGGAGATTTATATCGATATCGATATATCCATATAGCCAGGTTGATATCGATATATCGTATCCAAATACGCATGTCTGACGTGGAGGTTGGCTCTTACATGGGCGCGATCGAAGATCTCGTAGTCCTACTGGCTGCACGTCTTATGCTCTTAGGTAGCGCCTTTATAGACGTAAAATTAAATAAATAAATAAATAAAGTTACATGTATCCATCTTTTCGTTATCATCTTCCGGAGGAGGAGAGGGACCTTTGTAAAGGTCTTAACTGAGTAGACTGGCGACTAACTTTGCGGCTACTATGGGGATCCGAGAAAAACAGAAGAAAGGAAAGGGGGCAAGCTTAGATAAGCTCTGGCTAGCTCGTGCACAGGTCAAGCCCGTCGCATCTAGTGCAACAGTTACCGATCTTGTTTTGATTACTCCTAGCTAGCACATAGCTTCTTCGCAGCGGTTCTCATATTCGCCATGTCTTATAGAAGGTAAATCTCGCAGTAGATCCTTGCGCTTTCCTACAAAGTGCATGATTTCTGTCAGGTGTCAAAATATCTCTGAGGACGGACGACATTCTTCTGAATAGCATCACCTTGTCTTGCTCCTACGTCTATAATATTGGGGCATCCAATCAGTGTTCCAGCATTTAGCAGCAGCCTCGCTCCCCGGCCGGTATATACCTGCAAGAGTTGTACATGGCGGGCCATGTAGCCCGTGCCTGTCTTATCTTGGTGCCAGCAGTTTCCCATGTAAATGGAAATACACGCGACAGCCAATGCAACCGTTCAACGCCTGTATATCCTGTCATGTGGATTCCACATTATCGGGTGGAGCAATGGCGCTGACTTAGCGACCAGATTTTGCTTTGAATGGGATGATCTGTCTTTAACTGAGGGGGGTCGGATGCTGTCTACAAATATAGCGGTGCTTTCCTGGAATTCCACAATATTCCACAATGATTCTGTTATTCTGAACTCTTTTTCAACTTGTCATATTTTCTTTTACCAAGCCCTGATTCGTAATGTTGGCGCCGACCTCGTTTGTTGCTATTGCAATTCTTGCAACTTTATCTCCAGCGCAAGCATGTCTTCGCCTGTATGGCCGGGTGGCTGTTAATGACTACGGTTACCTCACTGTGGTGGATAATGGCATTCAAACTTGCGTTGGACAAGTGAAGTCTGGTGACAAAAACCTGGGTATGTAGTGGACCTAATTGGGGGCGACGCTTTCTCTCCATTCGAACGAAACCTTGTCGTTCATGGACTAATTTTGACAGGCTGTATTAATGGGTACTCGTTAAACTATGACTATACTGATAGTCCTATGGGTGGGCCTTTTCCTATTACTTATTGCAACCACGGTACTTGGTAAGAATCTTGACCAGGTTTTCATTGAATGCAAGCAATATCAGAGCACTAACTTTTACTAGCTATAGCATTAAAATCCCTCTTGATTACCATCAGCCCGGCCAGTATAGGTTTGACTACACTACGTTCTGCTGAAGTATGAAACCCGAATAGTACCCGTACCGCCGCCAACCTAGCAGACCCTTCTATATATTTAGCTACAATTAGCGCTGTTGCTAGACAGGATGAACCACTAGGTTGTAACTTGATTGATTGATTGATTGATTGATTTTAGTTTGATTTGATTTGATTTGATTTGATGTATTTTCCGTCTATAATAGCCTGCAGTGGCATTGAGATGTGCTGGTCAACAGTGCCTTTACTAAGTAGAATTTCCTCCTAATTTTCTCGTGAAAGAGTTCACTATCGAAGCTTCGATCGGAACTTCGATGTTCGCTCCCGGGTAGGTGTAATTTGTTGTGGTCGCGATGCTGTGGGGTCTTTCCTTCACGCGTTATCAGGAGTACTCTTCTCTCCACCACCAGCAAGTTGCAGCGTCCGCTACCTACATTCGGCCCGTATCTCGTCAGCGAGAACACCGGGGTTGTTTTGTTCTGGTGTATAGTGTATATTCTATGCCCAAGTGGGTAAAACAAAGGAAACTGAGAGAGAGTGAGATATGTGTTTTGCGGGATTATGTCGCCGTTCGCTGTGCGAGAGCGAACGATGATGTATCCCTAGTCAGGGGCTTTACGGCCGCTACTGGTTCCCAATCTGATTGGGAGCACTGTTTTTCCCATTGTCACATTATACGCCCTGGGCTGTATAGGATGAGATGGGTGTCCTCTTCTACGCCGTTGTCCGACGCGGGCAGCAGTGTTTGAAGAAGTATTCCGCGATTTTCGCGAAACGTTTGTGGTCTGTGGTGAGTGCATCGTTGATGCGGCTTACCGGCACGCGCAGCCACGCTGGGACTTTGCGGCAGTAAAAGATATGGTGGGTGTCTTTCGTGCGGCCGCAACTGCAATTCGGCTGATAGTCCGTGTGGTTGAACCTCTGGTGGTATTCTGCGAAATCGCCGTGGCCTGTACGGGCCGCTAATAGGTGCCCCAGAAGCCACCGGGGGAGGCTCAACTCAGGGTTGGGCTTGAGGGAGAACTTAATACCAAGCTGCTTATATTTGCTACTGGCATTTTTGCTCCACCAATGTTGTGTGGCTTTCGGAAGCCATGATCGTGCCAGTCTGCGAATATAGGCCTCTGTTAGCTCGAAGTAGTCGGTGCCGCTGCACCCAAGCTTCGCCAGCTCGTCGGCTCGCTCGTTCCCTATTATCCCCATGTGCCCAGGAACCCAGTGGAAGGAGACGTTGTCTGTGGCCATCTCTCGGATGGCCTCGATAGTCTTGATCGAGGTCTTGGCCGGTCTACCAGCAAGGGTCTTCAGTACGGAGGTATTATCCAAGCATACCGCGACACTCTGCCATTACTTCGGCGGAGGGTGGTAAAGGTCTCTATTTATTCTAGCAAAGTTATGCTACTCTAAATAACTACCCAAAGTACAAGTAAAGTAAGTAAAGAAAGAAAAAAGAAAGAAAGTTGAGAAGTTAAAAGACTGTTGAAGTGTTTTGGAGTCTTGGAGACTTGGGTGGAGTGGTTTGCTGTTGAGAGCGATATCGTAGCCTTGATAGTATTATAGTAGTGGTACTCTTCGGTCTTATATATTGCGTGGTCTGTTTAATACTGTTGTTTTGAAGCGGGTTTTCGGGTTTCTTTGAGCCGTTTATTGAGGTTGTTAGTTGGCGATCGATATAGCTGCCGTCATGCGGGCTCGATTTAGTATAAGACCAATCGTTGTGTCGAGATAGTTAGCAGCGTAAGGGCTTAGAAGCGCTTGAAAGCCTTTATACGTTTGCACTGTCTCCTTATCAATCAAGCCACCAGCTAAGAAGATAAGCGGTTTGAAGAAAATACCAAGGCAGCTATATTTGAGCTGTTTTGCCTTGTAGGCCTCGGCGAGCGTGTTCTGGAGCTTGTCTTTCGCTGACGCTTTGTTGACTGCCACGGCTTGGATGTCGTAGTAGTATTTGCTTGAGCCGAGCGTAATAGCAAAATCGACGCGCTCGTTGACGCCTGGGATAGCTACCTCTGGAGCGACTTCAAGATCTTCCCGGCAAGAGAGTGTTTTGGTAATAGCTCGGTTGATCTGGTCGTGGCGTGCTTGGTAGCGTCTCTGGGCAGCCTTGCAAGTGTCTTGGTGGTTGATGGCGGTACGTGCAGCGCAGTGTGTACAGGGTAAGTCTGGTGGCTTTATAGGTATTAAGAGCCTGTTTCGGAGTCCCTCGGT